TCCTCTTTCCATCCCCTTACACAGCAAGAACCGTTTCAGACCAGACTCATTCCCTGAGAATCCCTGTAGAAAACCTTTCAATTCATGAGTACTAACTACATTAAAACACTATCTCCAGAGCCCTGTGGTCCTTGCTGTTTGAATGCATGGAAGTTGAAAGGCAAGGCTCCAAACCTCCATCGTCGTCCTCCTCATCCCTATCCATCCCTCATTTAGACACCTGAGAGCCAGCAGGTGTGACTGACTTGAATGCTACTAGTATGTATTTTAGGATCTAAGAGCACTGGTCATTTTATTTGCTTTGGCTAGAGTTAGCCTTGCAGTCACTTTATTTTCTTGCATATCTCCCTTCCACACAGTGCTATTCCCAGACATGTAAGCAATCAGCAATTTGGCTGCTGGGCCTAAAGTTCAGCCCTTCTCACCTGCTGGGCACACACTGTGCTGGAACTTTTGCCCTGGTACCTTATTTCCTCCATCCAAAGTGGCCTGGAGGGTAGCGGGAGCCGCTACAAATGCAAGGAACTAGTTTTCTCATAACACGGTTACATGGAACAGATAATGAGCCAGCAAGCCCAGGGTGAGGCTGCTGCCTTTTTCCTTGTGCTTCTGGTGGAAGACCCGAGGGCTGCCTTCAATTAAGACCTCTACATTAGATTTGTCGGTGCTGATGAATTATGTCACAAATTAGCTTTAATGAAATGGTAAAAAGCGGTTGAGGCCAATATGAGATGAGCATCTGGTGAGGAATGGCCTTGATTCTCAAAGGACTAGCTAGGCTTTGAAAGCCAAGTCCTTTCTCCCAGCCGCAACATACCCTGTTGCAGCGTGGCTTGAACCACCCTCTGGAAACTGGCTAAGAAATGGTCATGTCCAAGGGGTTATCCAGCTTAAGATGTCCCAGTTACAGCACAGTTCAGCACACCCCTAGGCAATCCAGTATTGTATGTTGTTCTCCTGACTCTGTTGGGATTTGAGGGGTAGAAGAGATTAATCCGTTTCTTTACAGAACGGGGTGAAAAATGGCTGGAGCAGTTCAGGGGAACAGGACTTATTCTTCTGTAAACTGGACAAGTCAATTAACCTGGCCATGCCTCGCATTTCCCATTTGTAACAGCTGCCTTTGACAAGTGTTACATTCGACTGCTCAGTAGCATCTTGGATGAGATGGTGACATTCCTCCATTGGTTTTTGTGCCTCACTTTATAGGCAATATCTTCAGGACACTATGCTGTCCCCAATAATCAGAATAAATTCTTCAGATGGAGACTGTCCAGCAGCCCAGAAAACAATTTGATAAGTCAGCAAGGTATGAAAGATCCCTGCTCTGTTCCCAGCAGCTCCTGGCCCCATTGTCTCTTGCCATTCAAAGGTTGTGGCTTGTCCACAGCAAAGAGCAAAGGTCTCTTCTCATGTACGTCTTCCGCTTCTCCACCATTATGTGTATAAACACGTTCAGCGCATGAGCAACAGAGGCGGTCTTTGATCTGCTTGCTTAATGCACAATTCATTGAAATCAGTCTGTCTGAATGAGTTTTTTAAAGTGACTGAGCCACCTGAGGGCAATGCTGCCTTGAAACCTGGTTATTTAATATCCATTACAGGCAAAGGGAAAGGTCCTGAGTTGCATTTACATTCCAGCAGGGAAAAGGAGTGTCATGATTTAAAAGCAAGTTAGCAAGACCAGGGGAGGCATTGTTTAAAAGCTATTTGTTTAATGAAATCGTAAAAATGAATTTAGATGAATTTCTCAAATTGCCGTGCTGAGGCCCCACTTTCAAAGTTTCGCGACGTTTATGTGCATGAATCACTGAGCGTGGCATTCGTCCTCCAAGCCGCCGTGATTCTGGCTTTAATGGCTCTTCATTCTGGGAACAGATGGCTCTGGAGACTGCTGACTTTAGCAGTTCAACTTTCTGAAAACATTGGACGCTGCCTGAGCAACTCTCGGGGGGGTTTTTTATTGTTGTTTTTGTTTTTTTGAGCTGAAAAACTAGAACTGTCTGCTTGCGTCTGGAGGAGCCCTGGGAAACAGGGAGTGATGCTCAACATAACCCTAACACAGACTCCTCCTCAAAACCCCATTGCAATTTGGCCCCTCAAGTCTAGATCAGCGATTCTCAACCAGGGTGTCATGACACACTCTGGGGTGCGCTGAGATCCTTCCAAGGTTGCCCTGCAATGTTAACACTGCTGGATGTGCAGACATGATTCATGAAGTTAAAACCCAGAGATTTTGATTCAGTAACCTGTAGCATTAAAAATACTCTGACCTGCTGTGGTCTTTCTGAGTTCTTTGCAACAGGAGAACTGCTCTAGTTTTTTCACAGCGGAAAAGCAGAGTGACAACCCAAGACTTGGTGTTTTCCAAGGGTGCCCTGGTCTAGAAAGGCTGAGAACCACTGAACAGATGTAACATGGATGGACTTGAAAGCCAAATCCATCTGTGAATTGTGGGGGGGAAGGAGGTGTGGAATTCAGATCCCGCATTCCCGTACGGTGTGAGTCCTGAGATACGGCTCCCTCTCCTATAACGGCTGCACAGAAGTGTATTGATAGACGTGATGCTGACACAAGTTCTTACAGAGCTGGGGTAACTACTGCCACAGGTAGTGCCCTGGGCTCTGAGGGTGAGAGCTAGCCTCCTATGGGGAAACTTCTGTGGCCTTTAGTGCAGCTAGGTTTTGCACGAGTCAAGAAGTGATCAGGGGGAGCTAACCCTCAATCTCTTCTATGTGATATAAGTTAACATCCTTTGCCTCTATTTAGTTGGCTGAGGAGCAGCAGAAGACGACGCATCCAGTGCCCCTGCTGCTTGCTGAGACATGGATATCACTGTGGGATCGGCAGGAAAAAAAAAAATCAACCTAGCGCTCCCACTGCAGAAATACTGTCTCTGTTGCTAGGACTGTATTGAAAGCCAGTCCTCTGAGGTGAGCCCTATCGCTTTAGATACGTACCTACTTGTAGGCACCTCACAAGACCAAGTGCCTCAGCTCCTCTGCACGGCGCTGAACCTGAAGCTCTTCGGCTGTTCTGCTCCGACAGTGTTGGCAGTACTTGGGGCTCCTTATTTAATGCCTTTTCTCCCCTGAGCAAGGGAGAGAAGGAGGATGCACCACTGTGTCCGAGCTAGAGGTAGGAGTGCTCTGTAGCTCCAGGTCCCTCAAACAATTGCGAGGGATTTTTTTTTGTACACGTGTTAATTACTTTGGCATAACAGTACCTCGTGAGCAGACTTCCTAGGGCTGAAAGGGGACTAGACTAGAATAAGATGTAAAATTGCAGCAGCTGCTTTGAGGAGTTATTTAGGGATGTGATGACAAGCATTGAATGAAGTTGTTCAGGTTGGCTAGCTTATTTTTCCTGCATAACCAGTGACTTCTTCCTCTCCTGGGAAATTTCCATCGGTGATTAGAGGGGTACTTGTTTTAGTGGTCTCCATCCCCAGCCTTCCCCGTGGTCCTGGAGGTGACTGAGTGAATGCAGGGCACCGTGGGACCGAGTGTTATCTGTGGGTGGATCAGGTGATCCCTGTTTGTTTTCCCCAAGTAGCTGCTTTTAATTAGCATCACTTAAAATACATTTCCCGCGTGTGCAGTAATGAGAGCGCTGTTCTAGCACTCAGTCCTGCCTGAGCCAGGACCACTGTACCACGCGATGGCACTGGTAGACACTGTCTTGTCCTGTCTGGCTTGCCTTTCTGGTATGTTAGCTCTAGACTACATTCCCATTTACCTGCTCATCTTCCCTCTGCTCACCTGCTTCTGTTGCTAGCAGCAGTTGCCACTCCTTCCCTGCTCTGTCTGCTGGAGATTTGCCACACCTGATCTGTTTGCTTTGCTCAGGGCCAAGTTACAGCAAGGTGGGGCTTCCAGGAGCTGTTAATGAGGCAGGCTATATAAGCACTGGCCTTCTTTGCATGGATTGTCCTGTCTTTAATGGGCATCAGCAACACTTGCTCCTGTTGTACCTTTGCTGGGGTTTGGTGGAGATGGGGTGTTTCTCTTTTGGAACAGCTGGCTGTGGGGGGTGGCATTTTGCTCCCACTGAAGTCAATGGCAGTATTCCCATAGACATTGTAGGGGCCAGGATTTCACCCAGTCTGCTTTAACTGTCACTAGACCACAGATGTGGCTTGGAATAGATGGCTTGGGAGCCTGATCCTTCTGAGCCTGTCTCGGGGTGCCAGGGTAGGATGAAAGAATTGCTGCGGCACATCTGGTCATGCTAGCCAGCAAAGGCAGAGCTGAAGGGAAGGGATTTGATGGGCTGCCCTCTGTCTCTATTTTGACTCAAGCTGGCTCTTGGCAGTACTGATTAAGCTCTGGCAGCGTGAGGCTGAGCTGCTGTAGTAGCAACTCTGTCTAGGGGTTTCATGGCTGGTGAGACAGGAGCAAAGGGGCATGGGACAGGGAGCGTAGCTCAAATACCTGGGTTCTGCCTGGTGAATGTGGTATCTACTGCATTGAAATATTGCTGTGGATTTCAGCATGACCCAAACAAGTCAGGCTTTTCTTAAGCAAGGCCCTGCTGGTTGTGCTGCACAGAGGCTACAACCAGGTGCCAGCGTGAAGTGACTAAACAGTTTAGTTTTGCTGCCCATGCTGAATGAAGTAACCAAGCATGCAAGCAGGGAAATGGTAAGCTTGGCTTAAAAAAAAAAAAAGCCCACTTTCTAATCTTGTGTTTTTGCAGAGGGTAGTAACAGGCCAGATTCCAATCTTGGGGTATACATCTGGGGTACTGATTTTTTGCTGGGTGTTCCCTGGATTTACAGGGGTTGAGACATTTGGACTCTGCACCTCTGATTTCAGAACGTAGAGAAGTGGCAGGATGAGCAGAAAAATCCAGGGCCCGGCTTCTGATCCGTGTTTCCCCTTTTTCCTGTGCACAGAGCAGCTCTGGCGAGGTTGGCAAAGCAGTTTGGATGCGCTCTTCCTGGCCTGAGACTAGAATTGTGTCCTGCGGTTCAGAGCCTCACCACATGTGCTCTCTACAAGAATGAAAGCGGTGTGATTTGTGCTCTGATCAAAGTGAATGATTAAGAAAAGCAAAGTGGACCCCTGTAACCTTCCTATTTAAAGGTTCCCTGCCTCAGGCAGTGTTTGAAGGATCTCCTGTAACAACACCTTTGAAAAATGTCCTGCTATATTTCTTTTTTATATATATATATATAAAGATTTGCTGGGGCCTGACACTTACCTGCAAATAACCTGTAAATATTAATTCTTTTTATAAAGTCAGTGCCTAGCTTGTTTTGTGTGGCAGGGAACCTAACTTCTTCCCAAGGGAGAGGTGCTGCGTGTGGCTCCTAGTCTAATCAGAATTTAATCAGATTTCATTAGCTGAGTGGGGGCTGGCTTGTTTGGATGGCAGGTCTCCGGGAGAACCCAAGAGATGGTGGAAGTAGTGTGGGATGATGGACCTACCTTGGGGTTAGCAACTGCTCTGCTACTGGAGACTGTATAATAAGATGCAAAATAAATGCTGTAATGTTGGGTGGTGGAGAGAATAAAACAATCCCTGGGCACTTTTCTTTGAGTGTGTGAGCATCAGCCTAGGTGTCCTGGCCAAATTTAAATGCTGCCGTTTGCATTTGCCCTGTCTACAGCTCCCCTTGTATTTTCTCAGGTGAACAAAATGTTCTTGTTGTCTCTGGTCCTGTTCATCAGTTGCTGTTTTCCATACCTAAAGTGGCTTGCACATCAGTGCCTGTCAGAGCGAGTTCTGTTCCATTCGTCAGCTGCTTTCGGAGTCTCCTGGATAACAAGATCATGCAGAAAGGTAATAGCATTCAGATGAGATCGGAGAGGTCCTCCTGTTTGATCCTCTACTGTCCTCACGCTGAACCATCCAAGTCAGATGTGTTTGGCTGTGAGATGCTCTCTATGTGCCTGCCAGGATGGGGACCAGTCACTCACAAAGGGCTTGTTTCAATTTTCTGGTGCCTAGGGCACCAGTGATGGAAGGGGATTCACCTGTGAAGAAGTCGATACCACCACTGCCTTATCTCTGACCTGTGCTGCAGAAGGGTGCTGGGAGAGGTTCTGAATGGGTGCAACTATATATGGGTGCACTGACTGGTCTGTGGTGGCCAGCTCTGATCCCTCTGCGAGCAGAAGATTACAGGTCATTTCCATTTTACCCCCTAACTCCTGCAGGCTTTCTTGTCTGGGGACTTGCAGATACCAGGTTCTACTAGGAGAACCTGAGCAGTGTTTGGGCTCAGTGACTGGCCTGGGACCAAGTGAGAGGATGGTGTGAGAAGCTAGAGCCAGACATCTGCCTCCAAGATCTCTGTTCTCCACCTGCACTTTTTAATGGAGGTTCAAGGAAGGTCATTCCCCTCCCACTTATTGGGCAGCAGAGAAGCCTGACAAAATAGCTGGGCCAAGGCATGAAAGCCAAAGCCTATCTTCTTCCTCTGGCATTCAGGAGGCATGGGCGGAGGATGCCAGCAGTGAAAGATGCCCCCTGCCAGGGCAGGAGGTGCCAAGTTGTTGGATGTTGCAGTGTGAGGTGAGCCTTCCTCGTGGCTAACGCAGCCTTCATTTCCCCATTTGCACAGTGCAGCTAATGGCACTCGCCCTCCCTGTGGAGCAGAGCAGCACTTGGAGCTGTATGGAGCAGCAGCGTATGTTTGTGGTTTTGGTGAGTAACCGGAGAGCTCTGGCTGCACAAGTGCATTAATGCAGCAGCAAACCCACTTGAGCTATGCATTCAGCAAGCACCAGGACTGCAAATGGGTGACCTTGGAGGAGAAGGAAGCCTCCCTGCCTTGCAAGTGCTGCCCTGCTAAATATCATGCCTCCAAAATGTTACTTTGGAACAAAACTGCAGGGAAGTTGCCTGTTTGTTTGAGAGACTTACAGGGATTAGTGAGAGTTAGGAGTAAGTGGGCAACAGGCCTGGTAAAGAGGGTATTGAATTGAGAGGCAGGAGACTTGGGTGCTGTTCATAACTGTCATGGGCTCTGCCTCTAGTTTGTGTTTTCCTTCTGCATCCCCGCTTGATCTTGCCATTTTAGCACATTGGCTGTGTGATGATGCTTCCTCTCCCCTTACTGTTGCATGTTAACCATTAAGGGATGCTCGTTCCCATGCCTTGCCCTTGCCTCCTTTAGCATATGCTGCCTGGTAGCACTCTTCCCTTCGAGAGAGATGGGCAGAAAAAGCATTCATCAGTGGGGCTGCCAACTCTTGCAGTCGTATCCAGAGCCTTGCGATTTATCTAATAGGTTTTTTCCTTGAAGCACCAGCTCCTAGAGTCATGTGATGAAATCTAAAGGAGTTCTTGTGTCTTCTGACTGCTCCCCCCCCTTTTATGTCTAGGCCATGTAGTAGTGGAGGACAGTTTGGAAATGTGACCTGGCTGCTTGTTCTGGGCTTAGGAACCAGAAGCTGCCTTTGAAATTAACTGAGGGATTTAGCTCGATCTGTTGGCTTCCTCTTTCACAGTGGCTTAGAAAGGAGCAAGAGCCAGAGAAGAACTTGTCTCCAATTGGTTGCATGTGCTTAAGCCCCTCCCACTGTAGATGGGGATGCCAAAATGCTCAGTGTCCTGGGGATCAGCGATGATGATGATGATGTCTTCCAAGCTCCCCTCCGCCTGCTGTCCCTGCTGCTGCTGTGCACAGGCACAAGGAGCAGGCATCTTCTCAGCCTCACAGTGTCGGATCAGGACTGCTCTGATCCCCAGCCCCTCTTGTAAGGAGATGACTTTCCTGCATCATAAACCTCTGACACCTCAGAAACTTCCTGGCCTTACTCAGGAGAGTCACATTCTCAATTTTTGAACAAAAACTCTAGAAAATTGGCCCAATCTATGTGGATTTTTTAAAAAAAAAATTTTTTTTTGGTTTTTGTTTCGTTTGTTTTTAATGTCAATTTGGCCTTTTTTTTTTTTTTTTTTTT